TATAAATATTTGGCCTTTATATGCGCTTTACAAAATAAATAATTTTTCCAGAATACACCAATACTTTTGACTGGCTGTCAGTCAATGGAAAAATATTTTTTAAAATAAAATTTTAATGTTAACGTTTAGAATTTCTTAATATCTTCATGCCTTATAGCTGGGCGTTTGACATAGTTTGACATAGTCATACAGTCTGCGACAGTACAAGCAATGAAACATTTGAGATTTGCTATATAGTGTATATTGTCCTATATGCGAGTATACTGTATGTATGCGAATAAAGTTAGACATAAGTTATAAACATAGTTATATTTTTATATATTGCTGGGTGATAATATAGCTGATATTTATCAACAGTATAACAATCAAGCAGTTTAGGTTTGTTATTCTTTGGCTCTATATTGGTGTCTTTACAGCATCTACCAACAGCTTCCAGCCATCATTTGGTGTAGTCTGTAGTCTATAACTGTGTTAAACCCTATTGGTTCAGATACTATGAAACCAGTTTTGCTTTACCAGTTATGCTTTACGTATTCATGCATTAGAAAATGCAGCAAAAATATAGGCCCTGACTGAGAAATAGCTCAAATAAAATGACTGCCATCATATTCAGGGTCAACTTTCAGTTCTGTGTTTTTAGAAAAAAAAAGGGGGGAGGCATTTCATAAGACTTTCATTGTGACTCTTCCGGTTATTTGTCCAACATGGCTTAAAATAAATGTTCACTGCTTGCTTTCCTCTGCTCAGAAAGAGGCCCCACATTCCTGACAAGAGTCTGGCTTTTCCAGCTGACATGTTTTGTAATGTTTAAACAGTCTGCAATTAGGGGTTTTCACAGTCTGGCTTTCGAGAACTACAAATATCAATTACGTTTGCCTAAAATAAATGTTAAAGGGATAGCCTCATGTCAGTCCAGACCTGTAGGAATTTCTTTCTTCTGGTGAATATGTAAGAAGATATTTTGAAGAATGTAGATAACCAAACAGTTTCTGGTCCCCATTGACTTCCATAGTATTTTTTTTATCATACACTTTAAAAAATTGAGGTTCTTTATTATCATCTTTGGTTCCATGAAGAACCTTTAAGATCTATGGACCCTTTCCATTGCACTAAAGCTTCAGTGTACTTTTAAAAACTGTTCAGTGAAAGGTTCTTTGGGGAACCAAAATGTTTTTTTTTTTTTATATAGCATCACTGTGAAATGAACACATTCCCTTTTGGAATGTTTATTTTAAGAGTTGCTATGGACGTCATTGGGGACCAACTGTTTGATTACCCACATTCTTCAAAACATCTTGTTCTGTGTTCAGCAGAAGAAATACATTCATACAGGTGAGAGTGAGTAAATGATGACAGTATTTTTATTTTTGGGTGAACTATCCCTTTAAATAAATATGCATTTAAATTGAACAGAAGCATTTTGAGAAATTCAGGAAGGGGCCTCCCTCTGGTTTTCAAATGATTCTGTATGTACGATTCCTTCATGTTGTGTGACTGTTGCACATGTTTCTTTCAGATTACAGTCATTCTTTTTTTCTTTTTTTTTTTTGTAGGTGGGGTGAAGAGTTCAACATAAATAAGCATCCGCAGGTACGTACCCATCTGTCAGTGGCGGAGACCACCAGAACTGTACTCTGTATTTAAACACATCTGTGGCTTATTTGCTTTACACATAACTCATTTCACTTTGCTGAATCACATCTAGTTGAACAGTAGCACATCTCTTTGCCAGACCTATAAACCATTATGGAAATCCATGGGGGATTTTATGCGTTGAATGTTATTTATTCTGAGAGCAACCACAACAGAAGTTGTGCTCCGATTGATCGGCTACCGATCACTATCGTCCGATAATCGCTTTCAGATGATTGATCGGCGGTCTCTAAAAAGGCCGATCTCAAAAAACCCATCTCAAGCTGATGACGCTGCCATGAGAGGTTTGGCACGACATGCAGCGTCACTGTCTCAGTCTCTGTCCAGCGCGGGTGAAATAATTATAATGCTGAAGGTGAGGTACTTGGCTATCCAAGATGTAAATGCATTTGTTTCTTCATGGGAACAGATTTGGTGAAATGTAGCATTATATGACTTACTCACCAATGGATCCTCTGCAGTGAATGGGTGCCGTCAGACTCAGAATGAGAGTCCAAACAGCTGATAAAAACATCACAATCACATTTGTCCATTTCATTTTAGTAAGTTCACACTTTCACCAAAAACATGCAGCATTTAAACTTCAATCTTATTCAATTATATCAGTAGTAAAGTTAAGTTATTAGGATTTCGCAATCATAGCGCCCTCTACTAATAGAATGAGAAAAGGTGCTGAAACCCAGATTGTGTTCAAGTATTTGCATTGAAAATAGAAAACATAGATGAAGAGCACCTAATCACTCTCTTCTAGGTAAACCTAGAGTAAATATGACCACAGTCGCAATGTATGATTGAACATTTCATTGATCATTTGGTTTTTATTTCTGCAGCATTGAATTAGAGTACAAAAATTGACAATATAATTGGGAAGAGATGGTTCGATGATATACAAATGAATGAGAGAAATCGGTTTGTAGTGCATATGTATGGACAAAAATAAAATTTTTGCATGATTTGTTACATTTATGATGCGATTAATGTCGGATTAAATTCCTTCAAATCTTAAGATTTCTGCTTTTCCTCATTCAAGTAGTTAAAAATGTTCATACTAGCTTGTGTATATTATATGTGACATAAATACGGTTATACAGTGTTTCCTAAATTTTATGATCATACTGTGAATATTACCTCATGTTATAGTCTTTTAAAATCCTTGAATATTCGTCTGGGGAACACATCCCTCCGTAATTCCTTTCCCATGTAGCACAATCCAAGTAATCTTAAAATTATGGTGTGCGTCCAGACTAATGTTAAACTCATGATGCACGGTTTCATTTTTGTAGATAGCCAAGGACAGAGGTTTCTCATAGTTTCAGGATGTTTTCACAGTGTTGTTTGTTGCTGGTCTGACTTATCTCTCCAAATGTATATAAATATTGTTACTGGAATATTAAACTCTTTCAGTGCAATCGTTTTCACATATAATAAAGCTCATATGAATCATTCTAACTATTCCACTGCAGATTACTGTTTGTTGTTACAGGTGCTCCACATTATCACGTATTTGAAAGTGTTTGTGAACACATGCTTAATTTATTAATCTGAGCAGATCCCTTTATCCAGAGCAAGTAAACATGTGATAGGAATCAGTGGTGAATAAAACGACCAATATTTAAGCAAACACATAGCCCTGCCCCAGATTCATAACACTGGAACGCTGTTATGTATGGCCCGGCCTGCTTAAACCCAAAAATGAAAATTTGCAGAACATTTACTCATACCTCAGGTCATCTAAGGCTATGTCCACACGAAGCCAGAGCTTACCCTATCGAATCTTTTTTTCCCCCTCGTCTCAAGAAATATCTGCGTCCACACAGAGCAGACTGCGCTTGTCAAAGGAGGGGGCTTTGTTGAAAACGACGCGTTTGAGAGAGGCGGGGCATAGAGGACCTACAATAATGTACAGTATTTGAAAAATAATGTGTTTTTTGAACATTAAAGCATGTCAACATATTCTGTTACACCAAATACACAAAATAATGATCTTTAAAATAGCATCATATGACCCCTTTAATAAAAATACAATAGTTTAGTGTTTGTTCATGTTTTTGTTGCTGTTACGTGACGTAGCGGTGTCTGACTGGGTGAGATGTGGGCTGATGATGTCATCGCTTCAGAAAATATACGGATTCGCTGTCCACACGAAAACGCAAGGGCGGCGTTTTCAGATTTATCCACTCTGGGACCTGGTTTCAAAAAATATAGGTTTCACTCTCCCAAAACGCTGGATCCGTGTGGACGAAACGCCTATACGATACAAAATGTATTCGTATACAGCTAAACGCGTCTCCGTGTGGACGGGGCCTAAGATGTAGGTGAGTTTCTATTCTTCTGAACAGATTTCGAGAAATTTAGCATTACATCGCTTGCTCACCAATAGATCCTCTACAGTGAATGGGTGCCGTCAGAATGAGAGTCCAAACAGCTGATAAAAACATCACAATAATCCACAAGTAATCCACACCAGTCCATCAGTTAATATCTTGTGAAGTGAAAAGTTGGGTGTTTGTAAGAAACACACCCATGATTTAACTTTACGCCGTCACTTCTGGCCAAAATACCAGTCTATAATAAATAATGCTTCCTCTAGTAAAAGAAGGTCCATCCTGCTGTTGTCTCACATCAAAATGCACCAACATATTTGTTTAGCGGTGCTGTTAAACAGTGCTTGCTCTGTGCATATTTCTCTCCTGATTCAGACAAGGTGACTTTTTCACCGGGGAAAGCAATATTATGGATAGAGGACTCGTATTGCATCTGGAAGCAATGGTATAAAGCTATAAATGTCTCAATTGTGGATTTATTACAGACTCCCAGTCCCAGTGTTTTGCTTCACGAGATGTTAATTGATTCCCTTTGGTGCATAAATTACACACACTTTAATTTAAACAGGCATCAGACTGCAAAGATTTTAATGCTTTTATTTTTCTGTTTTACAGGGAACAGAAGTGAAAGCAATCACCTACTCTGCTATGCAAGTACATGACACGGAGAAACCAGATATCTTTGTCATCATCGATATTTAAAAAACAAAAATACAAGTTACAAGTTAATTTAAAGCCTCATGTTAATTGACGTGATTTTAAAAGATTGTACCTTCTTGTTGGAATACACATCTGAGAGGTTTCTTTTCTGTAAACTATGAAATGTTTTGTGGATTACATGGCTGAAATACTTTTTTTGGTCTGATTTTCATTATTAATAATGAAATTAAAGTGCCCCTATTATGGATTTTTTTTAAATGACCTTTCATGCAGTGTGTAACACAGCTCTAAGTGAATGAAAACATCCTGCAAAGTTTTAAATCTGAAAGTGCACCGTGTATAAAGTTATTGTCTCTCAAAAGAAAGAGTCAACTCTGAATCATTGAAACGAGCGGTTTTTTAAACGAATCCCAAGCCGTTTCATGTTGACGTCAACATGAAACATTAGCATATTGACCGCCCACTTGTTGCTCTTTTCGAAAAATGAATCGTTGAGGGAGTCGTTGATCAAGTAAGGTAAAAAATAAATGCATATAAGACAATGAAAGTGTTTTTTGACCTTGCATGTATGTCAATCTGTTGTTGGGGACTCCCAAAACCAAAATATGAACCTTTCATAACCCATAATAGGGGCACTTTAATAATATTTAATTTTGTAATTACAAACAAATATCATAAAGAAACACTCATGACCTGAAAAATACCTTGTTTGGTTTAGGTCTAAAGATTATTATTGTTAAAGATAATTTAAAATGTTTTAATAAAAACATATAAAAAGGAACACTTGTAAAGCTCATGTTTTGTACTAAAGTCAATAATTGAAAAAATAAAATAAAATACATCTCATTTTATCTTGTTAGTATTGATGCTACAGTGAAAGTAAACTTCTCCAGCAAGGCTGTGCATAATAAAAACCTTCAAAATCAGCAGGTATACAATGAGATGTTTGTCTTGAATATTTTAAAATACACTACTAGTTAAAAGATTTTGAACAGTAAGATTTTAAATAATTTAAAATACAGCAAAAGCAGTAATATTGTGAAATATTTTACTACTTTAAATAACTGCTTTCTATTTGAATTTATTTTAAAATGTAATTTAATCCTGTGATTTCAAAGCTGAATTTTTAGCATCATTACGCCAGTCTTCAGTGTCACATGGGGCCTCATTTATAAAGCGTGCGTATGCACAGATTTGATCTTAGAGTGTGCGTGCGCTTAAATCCACGCCAACGCTCATATTTGTAAAAACTGGCTTTGACGTGGAAAAGTGCTTAGCGTCACATCAGGGTCTGAGCAGACATACACACTTTTTCTCGATGGAGTACTGCAGGTTTTTGGAAATGTAAGCTGTTCTTGCAGCTCGCTGTTCTAAATGAAAGGTTTTGGATGATGACTGGTGATCTTTAATGACATTAATTAGGAGTCGTTTACAAGGCAGAGAGCTGAAAACATTAATTTGCGCGCAAGTTCAAGATCATTTGCGATTCATACACTCTAAAAAATGCTGGGTTAAAAAGGGACAAACCCAGCTATTGGGTTGTTTTGACCCAACGGTTGGGTTGTTTTGACCCAGCTATTGGGTTGTTTTGACCCAGCGGTTGGGTTGTTTTGACCCAGCGGTTGGGTTGTTTTGACCCAGCGGTTGGGTTGTTTTTACCCAACGGTTGGGTTGTTTTGATCGTAAGATAATTTTAGGATGGTTTCTGCGAAACGTTTTTTTAAATGAGGCCCCTGATCCTTAAAAAAATCATTCTAATGTTCTGATTTGCTGCTCAAAAAAACATTATTATTATCTTGAAAACAGCAGAGTAGAATTTTTCAGGTTTCTTTGATGAATAGAAAAATAATAATACTGACCCCAAGCTTTTGAATGGTATAGTGTATAATGTTACAAAAGCTTTTTATTTCAGATAAATGCTGATCTTTGGCTCTTTCTATTCATCTCTTTCCATTGCTAATAATAATAATAATAACAACAAAATTTTTCTTGAGCAGCAAATCATAATATTAGAATGATATCTGAAGGATCATGTGACACTGAAAACTGGAGTAATGAATCACAGGAATAAATTACATTTTAAAATCTATTCAAATAGAAAGCATTATTTTAAATAGTAAAAATATTTCACAATATTACTGATTTTGCTGTATTTTGGATCCAATAAATGCAGGGTTGTTGAGCATAAGAGGCTTCTTTTAAAAACCTCTTACTGTTCAAAAACGTTTGACACAGTCTTCAATGAGCTGCCACTTTTAAAGCTGAAGCGTGTCATTTCTGTGGGGCCAAACAGACTAAAAAAGATTGATAGTCCTGCCTTAAATTCATGCTAGTGTTGTTATGCTGGTTAGCATGGTCATGTTACTGTTGCTGTCACTTTTAGGTTTCCAAAAACATCTTTTTCCATAAACGGCTATTCAAAAGTATAGCCATGAATTTGGCAAAATATGATTTTTTTTTTTGTAAAACATTCTAATTATAGTATTCTCATTCTGCTCTAAAAAGTCTGAAATTAACTCAGGGTAGTTGCTCGTGAAGAAATTAGGACAGCAAGTGAAAAAAATGATTGAAATTCAACAAAAATCACACACTTCAACTTTAAAGGGGTCATATGATGCGATTTCAATTTTTCCTTTCTCTTTGGAGTGTTACAAGCTCTTGGTGCATAAAGAAGATCTGTAAAGTTGCAAAGACTAAAGTCTCAAATCCAAAGAGATATTCTTTATAAAAGTTAAGAGTCAGCCACACCTACCTAAAATGGCTCGTTCTAACACGCCCCCACATGTCTACATCACTATGTGGGAAGATTTGCATAACGCCACCCAAATGTTCACGCAAAGAAAGAAGGCGTAACTTTTATTCTCGCTGTAGTATTGTTGCCACCGCCGCCATGTCGTGAAGACGTTGTGTGTTTCGTTGTGAAAGCGAAACTACTTTGTTTGGTCTTCCAAAAGAGGACGATATCTGCTTCGTCATGCCTAGAGCTGATCTGTGCTGGTCGCTGAGGAAATACATCAACTTAGTGCTGTGGATCGCCGGCACATTTTATGGAGGACTGTTTACTGATCCTGGGAGAGTAACGTTAGACTAAAATGCCGGCAGTTCTGACTTACAGCCTGTAAGTACGTTTTAATTTAAAGGATTAACCAAATACACAAAATAATGTTCTTTTTAGCAGCATCATATGACCCCTTTAATGATTTCTTGTGCTTCTCTCCAAAATCTGGATTACATAAAGTCTAGTAGAGCAGCAGTATTAATTTAAATATAAAAATACAAGCCCAAAAATAATGTTGGAGGCACTATTGGAATAGCAGTAGTAGTTGGTGCTCAGCACAGGCATGTCATTTCCAGCAATTCATGTCAATCTTCATCTGCATGAGTCCAGTATGGTCATTTGCTTCTGTCATGACAGTATAACCCTAGCAGCAGACCCGTCGAGCACAGGAGGAAAAAACACAACACAGACAGAACCACGACTGGTTTACTGGAGCTCGTGTTCCCATCTAAAAGAAAAGACAGACGAGAGGAACACATAACTGACAGGTGACTCCATACACATTAACACCGTTTGTACACACATTTTAAACAGGATATTCAATAATATTCAACATTTTCTATGTCAAATTATTTTTTTGTTTGGAATTATGTGAACTGATGAATCCAGTTTTAATTTCTTTTCATTTTTAAATAACATTTGATGCCTCATTTTTAAATCTCATACACTACTGTTCAAATGTTTGGGGTGGGTAAGGTTTTTTTTTTTTTGAAAGGAGTCTATTATGCTCACTAAAGGCTGGATTTATTTGACACAGTAAAAACATTAATATTGTGAAATATTTTTTACAACTTAAAATACATGTTTTCTATTTGAATGTATACTAAAACGTAAATTATTCATGTGATGCCATTTCCAGCACCATTACTCCAGTCTTCAGTGTCACATGATCCTTCAGAAATCCTTCTAATATGCTGATTCGATGCTCAAGTAACATTTCTGATTATTATCAACGTTAAAACAGTTGTGCTGCTTATTTTTTTGTGGGAACTATGACTTTTTTTTTTGGATTCTTTGACGAATAATAAGTTCAAAAGAACAACATCATATTTTAAATTGATATCTTATCTAACATGTTTTACGGTCACTTTTGATCAATTTATGCATCCTTGCTGAACAATTATATGTATCATATCCCAGCTCATTTTGTATTATGACCATAGAATATGGATCTACACTTAAATGTCTCGAATACATTAATGAGCAGTTTGACATTTCAGAAAGTTTTGCATCATAAAACACTTTCAGTGGAAGAAAGGAAGGAAATTATCTAAAATGTTAAAGCATTTTTTGCTGACAGATTCCTCAAACTTTATGCAATTTACATGCGCTTGCAAAACGCCCTGTAAACAAATCAGCAAAAAAAATAAAAAATAACATTAACGAAAGTCATTCAGTGAATCAGCTGCAATGATAAAGCTCCTGATTGTCTGGTTTAACTGACAAACAGGCTTTTGTGTGGTAATCACTTGCAGTGTCATCTTCCGAACAATGTGGCTTTTATTCTTAAAATGGATGCCAGTTTGGGAACTAGGAATTAAAAAAAAAAAAAAATACTTTTTGTCCCAGAGGAAAAGAATGTAATGTGAAATAGAGGAACCTGTTAGCAATCGGACAATGAAGGAATGATTCTGCTCTCAAGAACTCACACAACAAAGACTGAGATTCACTGCACTGTAGGGCTGGGTAAAAAATATCGATATCTCGATATTAATCGATTCTCTTTTTTACGGAACGATGTCAATTCTTAAATCCTAAGAATCGATTAGTCTAGCCTGTTTTCAGTAAAATGGACGGAACATTGAAGGGCACTTCCCATCCAATAAATCGCAATAAGCATCGTGCTTTGGTGCTTTTAATATGAAACAAAGTCTCAGGTTTCAATTTATGTCCATTGTATTGCAGTATTCAAACAATAAATGCCGTTTTGGCGCCGTTTAATGTGGAGTGACAGATCGCTGTAGCGCCTCAGATCAACAGACGAGGAAGCGCGAGGCGCACGTGAACTGATCATCTCCTCCACATTAATACCAGTTTCAACACAAAATAAACATGACTAAACATCCGAAGGTAAGTTAAAAGAAAGAGTACAACTTTACAATCTGTATCCTGTCTCATGTAATCGCTCAATCATTGTTTCAGCCGCGCAAAGACGTCAATATAACGACTTGTAAACAATGTCACGTAACATCACATTTACCTCAGAAAAAAACATATTCGGTGACCATAAACTAGTCAGCCAGAAAAATAAACTGTAGAGAGGGGTATTTTGCTAAATATATGCACCACATAACATGTTCATTATAATTTTTACTGTTCTAATGTTTAATTTATGTTTGAATAAATCCATCATTTTTTATGACAGCCACTATTTACATTTTTTTATGTAAAAAAAACCCCAAATTGAAGTAGAAATATTATTATGTAATTGTAACTTTATTATTTTAAAAACTTCATTGTGTAATTTTAACAGTTGTTATGCTATAGCTTACAAATCAGTCAATTTTAACCTTCAATATTATTGTAATGTAGCACCAACTGACTCTCATGTATATTTTACAGCATTAGTTGAGAGATTTTTTTTCCTTGAGAAAATTTGGCAAGTACTGTACCTGATATATATATCCAAAATAATCGATATTGAATTGAATCGAATCGAAAGCTTGTGAATGAGAATCGAATCGTAAAATTTGTGTCAAAACCCAGCCCTACTGCACTGGTTCTTTGAGGTCACAAACCAAATTCATGCCTGACACTGATCACGTGACTCTTTGTACAATGTGATTTCTCACTTCAAGGAGCATCTCAAAATGTGCTAGAGGACGTGAGCATCGGGGTTGCTTCATGTCAGCTCAAGTGCTTTTCAATAATGCAGATATTCGGAGACTTATGTTCACGTTTCACTTCAACTTTTCACTGCAAAACAAAAAAAAAACACTTAAAATTAAAACAGTTTTGAAAAACAAAAAGGGTGAAACCATAGTGACAGGCTAAATTTAGCACAGACTGAAAAAATAAGTAGCAAATAAATCTGCACACATGAACTGCAGCCTCATGCTGGCAAAACACCCACAGCTTCCACAAGCCGCAGCCCACAGCACTGAGCTTTGTTCTCTTATCCCTACATCAACACTGCTGAGGCCAATAATGACTCCCATCTGTGGGATTGGTGCAGACAAACAGACTGATTTATAATGAGCTCCTGCCACTCAGTTATTCACTATTTGCTACGGATTATTATAATCCAGACCCGAGTGCTTCATGTCATTAATGAAAACAGGGCAAACACTTGAATTCAGATTACTTTCCAATTCAAAGTATCTTCACATTTCAAAATACGAATTTCATGTTAGTCACTTAAATTATTTTTAATAAAATTCAGTGCTATTTACATTTACATTTAGTCATTTAGCAGACGCTTTTATCCAAAGCGACTTACAAAGAGGCCTTTTTTGCTTTTGTTAATTGTATAATAAATAAAAAGAAAACAAATAGATAGAATACAAAAAGATTATTATTAGAAAAGCTAGTGTTAGGGTTTTTTTTAAAGAAAACAAGCAGTAAATGAATAGAGTGCAAGTCTAAAAGGGACAAGATTTTTTTTTGTTGAAAGAATAGAATTAGAATAGAGAGTGCTAGAGTTAGAGGGTCAAATAAAGATGGAAGATATGTGTTTTTAGCCGATTCTTGAAGATGGTTAAGGACTCAGCTGCTCGGATTGAGTTGGGCAGGTCATT